GCTGCAACGTCTTTGGAAGGCTTCCCGACGATCTCTGCAAGCCAACCTGAGGTACCGGCAGGGAGTAACTCCTCAGCTTCGAGTGCGATTACGCACTCTAGAGTCCAGTCTTGACATCGATCCTATATTAATCAGAATTGTGTCTAGTCATTAGCAACGGTGTCCTTACTTTGTTGTTCCGCGGCGCTGGTTCCTTTGATATGATATCTATAGCCTGATTGTACTTTGTGGATTCAATGTAACCCAAAAGTACCCTCCCCTCGCAAGTCTAGCTTTCTAGTGGGTGGCCGCTTCGAGTTTCAAACTAATAAATCAATCCTTCAAGGTTGATTAGCTGCACGTGCAGAAGGTTTCCAACTTCGTTTCCCTGTCGGAAAATCAAAAAACCCCAATGGGAGCGGTGGTTCGGGTCTTCTCCGTCTCCATAAATTCCAATCGACAACGTGTAGTACGACATCGGTCTCGCACAGCGTAGGGTATTCGAAGTGTGGTATTGAGATGTATTCAAGAAGTGTGAGAAGAGTGCAAGACTGGCTGAGCACGATAAGTGAAGGGATTGTTTTAAATACACAAAAGATGCAGTAGAGACAGATTTGGGATCATCTCCGCTTCCATCTCCATACTAGCCGACGTATCTACCTGGAAGAACCCAAATTCAGTTCGAAGCACACGTCACGCCTCAAGAAGGCAGCCCGACAGGCTATCAAATACAGACTAATAGCCCCAATTGCCCAAGATGGCACCATCAACTATACCGGTATCCTGAACTCAAACTATGTAACCATCTCCCCAACTTTGTGTCTGGGAACGAGGCACAGAGGCTGCTGGATCAAGCGAAGGAGCTGTCATCGCCGCGCTTTCTGAAGCCAAGTAAATGGTTCAAATCTAGGAGTCACCGCTCGAGGACGTATAGTACAACAAGTTCTATTCCAAAATGACCTTGTTACCATAGGAAATTCATGAAATGGTACGATTATCACCAATAGGTCAGTCTCAAAACGAAACAGACAGTTCTTACCACCTCAGCACTCAGCCCCAAAGGGTGATCGATGCTCACTCTTTGTTACTTTGCCCCACAAACTATATGTGTCTAAACACTTGTAAACGTATGCATGATGTACGCCGCGTTGTATAGGACTATCAAGCCTTGTGAGAATTGAGATGCCATTACGTACTACCTGCGACGACCTAACAAGACCAGCCAAGACTATTGGTATATAAATAAGCTTTGGATGCTTCTAGCGATATGGCTACTCTTACACCTCACAGTCCCTGCTTTCTAGCGAAGTCAAGAAAGTAATGGATTCTCAAGAAACCATTCCGGACGATACGTTGTATCAAGTATGCACTTACATTGCATGATTGGTGGTTATTACTGATCATCCCAGAATTACAAAAAATCTCCAGTAGTCAGTGACGATATTGTTTATCCAGCTCTAGAACCAAAAGAAATAGAATCTGCAACCAAGGGGTTTGGTAACAAGAAAAGCGACTGGCAGTCCAGCGAATGCAGGTCGCGCGAGACAAAGAAAGCAGCCTCGTATGCCGATGCCAGTAAGATTGTTCTCTCTACGCATCAAATACTACTAAGAAGCCGTGTAGGACACCATCACAGAGAGAATGGTAGCGAAGCGTTGGATCTTCTAGGCAAAGCGGTAGATCTATTGAGCAAAGCGAGAGACATAATAGGGCAGCAAGAACGCATTTCAAATGAGATGCACGATGTGTTCCCCTGTCTTCAAGAAGTTCTTGAACAACTCACTCGTAAGAGCTTGCCTAATAGTGGCAAAAATGTTAGATGGGCAGATGTTCGTAGAGCTTACGGCTCTGATGACTATACAAACCGTCCTAGGAAAAGATTACGAGAAGATTTACAGGGTTAGATGAGACTTATCCTACAATCACGGTTGATATACTTTGTCTTGCAAAAAAATCCGATGAACATCCTGATGATGTCTCTAGTTAGAACCTCTCCACATGTCTTGAATTTTACTATATTCATCTTGGGTTAGTTACGTACTGAGACTATTCCTAAAGCGCCATAACGCTGCTCACATAAGATTGACGACTCGGTACTTTCGTTTAAAGCCTTTCAATCAAAGCGATCAACAATTCCTGCTAACGTGACACCGGATAACGCGGAATACACAGTTTTTTTTACCTTGGATAACGTGTGCAATACGCCGTTTATGATCGCTCTTGCGTGCCAGAACAGAGAACACGGGGTTGAACCATGCCTCGCTGAAGCCAAGCCTTCGGCAAGATGACACATTGCTGACACCCTTACCTAACACTAGGTACCGACAGCTACTTGAAGGTCGGTACAGTTCGACTGTCTGAATGCCCTCTCTGCTTTCCACAACTGCGAAGCCGTTGACGTGATCTCACAGCAGCACAGAAAGTACAACAAAGACGCCACCTCAACCGACGCAGAGCGTCTCCTACTACAATCCTCGCGGCCAAGCCGTCATTTGCGCGAGCGCGCTGCTGCGGGTCGACTCCGTCAGCGTTCCCATCGAAGGCCTTCTTAAGCCAATGCCACTTCAACAAAATGTCATAAGCGGATTGGGTTCTACCATGTTGTTACACCGAGGCAAATAGCATTGAAAGTAACGTATAGCCTTCTTGCCTACTCTAATGGTATACATTCGCCGTTCAGGCTGGAGTTATAGGCGCAGACTCAGG